TAGAAGACAATCTACATGGAGTAATTTTTCTCTCCTTAAAATTCCCTTATTTAAGAAAATGTTTATTCTCTACTGCCATGAGGGGAAATAACTTGCCTATTTTGTTTATTAATACATCTCCAACCAGGTGCCTGCAATGTGGTTTCATACAGTGGAAGAAAATACTTGCAAATCATATATCTGATAAGGGATTAATTTAGAGAACATATAAATAAATTCTACAACTCAAAGAAAAAAACTAATTTAAAAATGAGCAAAGGGCTTAAATAGGTATTTCCCCGAAGACATGCAAATGACCAATAAGCAAATGAAAAGATGATCAACATCCCTAATGATTAGGAAAATGCAAATTAAAACCACAATGAGATACCATCTCAATTTTTGTTAGGATGGCTATTATCAACAAACAGAAAATAGTAAGTGTTGATGAGAATATGGAGAAATTGAAACCTTTTTGCATCACTGTTGGGGTGTAAAATGGTGTGGAAATCAGTACAGCAGCTCTCATAAACTTAAACATAGAATTACCATATTATACAACAATTCCACTTCTAGGTATATACTCAAAATAACTGAAAGCAGAGACTCAAACAGATATTTGTAAATGCAGGTTCTTAGCAGCATCATTCATAATAGCTAAAAGGTAAGAAGTGTTCATTAATGGATAAATGGATAAACAAAATGTGACATATACATAAAATGGATAAATAAATTCAATCTCAGAAGTGAATGACTAAATAAATAAGAAAATTCTGAGACATGCTACAATATGGATTAATCTTGAAAATATTATGCTAAGTGAAATGAGCCAGACACAAATGACAAATATTGAATTATTCCATTTAAATGAGGTACCTAGAATAGTCAAATTTATACAGACAGAAAGTAGAATGGTGGTACTATTGCACAACAATGTGAATGTACTTAATGCTATTGAATTTTACATTCTAAAACAGTTACTTTTTGAAATATTAATAGTAATTGTTTTAAGCAAAATGGTACAGTTGATAGAGTCTTGTATCAAGAAAGGATCAAACTGAGGCACTGATATTAATTAACTGTGTGTTCTTAGGCAAGAAATTTGACCTCTCTGGGACTCAGTTTTATCATCTTTGAAATGAAAAGATTGTAATAGATGTCAATGTTTCTTTTTATTCAAAACATTCCATAGAAGCACATCTTAGATGCCAGAACTAAAGCTGAAAAATTGGTCTAACATGAATCAGTGGAGATAAGAGAATTACCATCCCATTTAAGTCTTTTTATTTTTAGGTATTTAGTTAAAGAGAATGTTAATCACAAAAGCAGACTGATGAACACACTTTTGGAAGGAAAATCTATCTCCAGGTTCATTAAAAACACCCAAGTATAGCTTCTTGAAGCCTCAAACTGTGTTATTATTAAGAATAGGGCAGTCGAATAAACATTATTATAAGTCCTAAAAGGTTACTTATTTTCTATGTTTGCTCATAAGTACTACTGACATTTTTTTTTTAGACTTGAAGGTCCCAGGATCTATTAAAACAGAAAGAATTTACTCTGGTGTCATTCTCAGCCCGGGCAAATGATCCCTTCAGTTTTCAGTTTCAGGGAGGCAAAAGGACCAGTATCTGCCTCACCTAACCTTCAGATACAATACCAGTATCACCAGCCTACCAGCACCAAGTCCCATATCTTCTAATTAACACTGAACTCAAAGATTCCACAAAAGCATTTTTCTCCTACAGATAATCTGTTCAATAACTTTGCTAGTTAAAAATCAACATTTGGCCCTGTGCTAAGTAAAAAATGGGAACTTAGAAGTCCCTCAATCTTAAAAAGAAATAGGTGTTTTCGCACATTTCTCTGAGAATAAAAATGCCTCATGATATATATAATAATTAGAGAATAAACATTATTGTGAGGCAGAAATCCAAGTATAAACTTCTCATATAAAAGTAGACTTTGATTAAATAAAAAAAAGAAATTTTGAGCTGCCCAATTATGGCTGGCTCACAAAGTAGCTAACATCCTTGAATAAAATAAAATGTTCAAGCCTTAGACAGATGACAATAAACCAAAAGTATGTCATAAAGACTCAGTAACTGGGGTAATTTCTAAGATTCCACCTAATGCTAATATACACAATTTTAAGATCAGCATTACAATAATATCTACATACTATTAACTAACACTAGCAAGAGTCCAGATTTATTAGCTAGCATATCAATCCATGGAAATTTACTTTAACTACAGGCCAGCAGCATACAGGGCCTTCAAAACTGATTAACAAAAGATAATATATGTCCCCTTCACTCCTTCAAGTAATAAAACAATCAAAGATGTTCAAATCAGACAATCCACCATGAAAATCCTGTGAGGCCAGTGTGTGACTTTGGACAACTTCTTTAACCTCTGAAATTCAGGGAGAGTTTATAAGAGAGAATATCATCTTACCTCACAGAGCTGTTATGAAAACTTTATTAAACTAGGTACCTAGTACTATATAAAATAGTACAGTATACTCTCTCAGATTATACCCATTCTTCAATAGCCTGCTTAAAAGTTACCCCTCCATGTTCTCCATCACTTTCTAAGCCAATATTTCTATACTCCAAACTTCCAAAATATATTGCATATATCCCTCAATTTTGAACCCTCAATTATAGGACAAAGTGAATTTGAGACTGTATTTTGGTTAGACTTTAACAAATCTGAACATAAAGAAATGGGACTAATGAATATTTGATTAACTGGTTTAACTATTTTTAAGTGTTCATATTAAAATGCTTAGGTATCCTCGCTTATGGACAAGTCTAAGCTAGAGTAACTTTCCAAATTCTTCCCCTACTGTATGCAGTGATAGATATATGGATATCTGTCTCATCCATTAATATCCAATTCTAACAAGGCCTCATCTCATCAGCTATCTCTGATGTCCCAGGGAAACTGTCTGCTTTCTTTAAACTTGTAGGACATACTGCTTTAAGCAGTATTTCATTGACTTCAAATTGCACTAAAACTAATCAGTATCTCAATTTATTAAGTTTTGTTTTTTTATTTTCAAGTTAGAGTTATTAGCAGATTCATTAAACATGTTTTTTACATTTATTAAGGAAAACGACTTCAAGAAACCATTTCAAATCAACATACTTCCATAAAGCACAGCAAAAATATCACTAAAATAGCACAGCAGTAGTCTTAACTACAAAAAAGCAAAACACATCCAAAAACTATTGGCATTCTGTGATCTCATACTTTCAGTATTTAACTGGAATATTATTTCTAGATGTCTGCAGGCATATTTTAAGTAACATTTGACAATATTCATAATAACCCCTAAGTATCCTTAAAATAAGCCTTACTTATTTAAATATTCATTTTATATAAAGAAGATAATCATTTTGAAAAATGTGGACTTTTTTAAAGAAATTAAGAATTTTCTACAGTAAATTGCACTGTTTACAATAAAACTATTTTAGTCCTATAAATGGTAATTTAACCAGCATATAACGGAGATAATAGTTGATAAATACCTATTAAAATTGATATCACCATATCAACTGTGACATATTCCAGTTTATTTCTTAATAGATTAGAACATGAAAGTTGGCTCAAATGCAACATACCATGTATGCTAACAAAAAGTTAAATCCATCTCTATGTAGCATAATAAACAACATATGGAGGAGTAAGGACAAAATAAAATTTATCATTAGAAATTAAGAATAATAATTTAATAATCATTTCATTTTATAAAGGAATTGGTAACTACAACTTTTTAAAATTTTTTCTGTATCAGCAGTCAAATTTTCTTGAAAATGTCAGCAATTATTTTACTAATTTCATTTTAAAAGTTATGTATTATTAAAGAAACAAATTGTTAGCAACTGAAGTATTTTAGTCAAGAAATTAGCTGGGCACAGTGGCTCACGTCTGTAATCTGAGCATTTTGGGAGGCTGAGGTGGATGGATCACAAGGTCAAGAGATCAAGACCATCCTGGCCAACATAGTGAAACCCCATCTCCACTAAAATACAAAAATTAGCTGGGCATGGTGGCATGAGTTGGCAGTCCCAGCTACTAGGGAGTCTGAAGCAGGAGAATTGCTTGAACCCAGGAGGCAGAGGTTGCAGTGACTGAAGATGGCGCCACTGCACTCCAGCCTGGCGCCTGGAGACAGAGCAAGACTCTGCCTCAAAAAAAAAAAAGAAAGAAAGAAATTAATGCTAATTTTCTAAAAGTTATGTCACTTTTAGTAAAAAAACTAATAGAAAAACTATCTTGCAAAAATAAGCTTACCAATGAGAATACAAAAGACATATTCTAAATAATGAAAATAATTCACATTTTAAATTGGAAAGTTGGCTCACTAAAAATTAATTTCATATATTTAAACATTATTTTATATATTTAAACAATACATTAAAAGCATTCCTTTAAACTAAAAATTTGTAATTGATAATTACTGGCTTTCTTTCTGTAAATCTCTTTGAATTTAAGAAAATGTGACCATCAAATATGGCAACTCAATCCTGAATGAAAATAGTGAGCTACAATCAATTTCTTACAAAATATAGCTACTAGATATATAAATACATTCTAACTCTATATAATGAGTATACTTTGTTAAGTGACTATGAATATATATGAAATTACTACTTAATAAATACTTTGACCTTGATATTAATTTATACCTTTTTAAAATCTTTATACCATCTTGAAAAAAAAGGCAGTTGCTCTTACAGTTCCTATTATAATCTGAAGTATTTTATATATATACAACATGAATTAAGTTACTACCCTAATAACAGTTATTATTGTCCCAAAAGACACTATGAACTAACAGATTTCAGAAATTTAAAAAAGATTTTTAGTGTCTCAGTAAAAGCACAAGTTCAGATATTTTTTCTAAAGTTTTGTATAAAACTAACGTGGGCATAAGACAGACATATTTGGGTTGTTTTCCCTCATAAAAAACAGAAATTAACATGAGTCACATTTTAACATGTAAGACTTACCAGCATGTGGGGAGTTTCAGAAGTTTACCATAAAGAGCAGTGCTGAAAGAGGGAATAATCGGTACAGGTAAGCAGTAAGATCCACTGCAATCCAAAGACGTCAGTCCTGCCTGGAAACCAAATATCTAAAACAAAGAAAGAAAGAAACAAAAATCAGTGTTTTTACAGATAAAGTTTTAATAAGGACAGGATAAAATACTTCACTTTCAATTTGCTGTACAACAGCTGCACACTAAATAAGTACCAAAGTCTTTTACCACTTCCCAAATTCTTTTGAAAAACTTGACTGTAGGTCAAAAGATATTTAAATATACAGTATTTATTTCACATCACTGAAAGATCAATGCTCTTTTGACTAATATTAAGTTTCACATTTTATTTCCATACAGATTCCTCATTTACTGTTTTATTATTTGCTACAATATACATTTTTCCATAAACATAAACATCTGACTGCATTTTCTACACTACGAACTATAAATTTTATAAATTAATGTTAATATTTTATGGCTAAAAGAACATTAACTACAAGAAAAACTGTTTAAAATGTATTTTGTCTTCAACTTGTATAATGTACAAACAAAAAGGATATTGAAACATATCCTAAAATGTTTCTTTCCACTTTCTTTTTGTTTTTGTTTTTTCCATTTATTTATTTTATTGCATTTTAGGTTTCGGGGTACATGTGAAGAACATGCAAGATTGTTGCATAGGTACACACGTGGCAATGTGATTTGCTGCCTTCTTCCCCATCACCTACATCTGGCATCTCTCCCCTTGCTATCTCACCCCAACTCCACACCCCCCACCGTCCCTCCCCTTTTTCCCCTCAACTGACCCCAGTGTGTAGTGCTCCCCTCCCTGTGTCCATGTGTTCTCACTGTTCAACACCCGCCTATGAGTGAGAACATGTGGTGTTTGATCTGCTCTTCTGTCAGTTTGCTCAGAATGATGTTTTCCAGGTTCATCCATGTCCCTACAAAGGACACGAACTCATCATTTTTGATGGCTACATAATATTCCATGGTGTATATGTGCCACATTTTCCCTGTCCAGTCTACCATCAACGGGCATTTGGGTTGGTTCCAGGTCTTTGCTATTGTAAACAGTGCTGCAATGAACATTCGTGTGCATGTGTCCTTATAGTAGAACGATTTATAATCCTTTGGATATATATCCAGTAATGGGATTGCTGGGTCAAATGGAATTTCTATTTCTAGGTCCTTGAGGAATCGCCACACTGTCTTCCACAATGGTTGAACTAGTTTACACTCCAACCAACAGTGTAAAAGTGTTCCTATTTCTCCACATCCTCTCCAGCATCTGTTGTCTCTAGATTTTTTAATGATCGCCATTCCAACTGGCATGAGATAGTATCTCAATGTAGTTTTGATTTGCATTTCTCTGATGACCAGTAATGATGAGCATTTTTTCATATGTTTATTGGCAACATGTACGTCTTCTTTTGTAAAGTATCTGTTCATATCCTTTGCCCACTTTTGAATGGGCTTGTCTTTTTCTGCTAAATCTGTTTTAGGTCTTTGTAAATTCTGGATATCAGCCCGTTGTCAGATGGGTAAACTGCAAAAATTTTTTCCCATTCTGTTGGTTGCCGATTCACTCTAATGACTGTTTCTTTTGCTGTGCAGAAGCTGTGGAGTTTGATTAGTTCCCATTTGTCGATTTTGGCTTTTGTTGCCAATGCTTTTGGTGTTTTGGTCATGAAGTCCTTGCCTACGCGTATGTCCTGAATGGTTTTGCCTAGATTTTCTTGTAGGGCTTTTATAGTGTTAGGTCTTATGTTTAAGTCTTTAATCCATCTGGAGTTAATTTTAGTGTAAAGTGTCAGGAAGGGGTCCAGTTCCTGCTTTCTGCACATGGCTAGCCAGTTTTCACAATACCATTTATTAAGCAGGGAATCCTTTCCCCATTGCTTGTTTTTGTCTGGTTTGTCAAAGATTGGATGGTTGTAGATACGTTGTGTTGCCTCTGAGACCTCTGTTCTGTTACATTGGTCTATATCTCTGTTTTGGTACCAGTACCATGCTGTCGTGATGACTGTAACCTTGTAGTATAGTTTGAAGTCTGGTAGTGTGATGTTTCCCCCTTTGTTCTTTTTGCTTAGAATTGACTTGGCTATGCGGGCTCTCTTTTGGTTCCATATGAAGTTTAAGGTGGTTTTTTCCAGTTCTGTGAAGAAGGTCATTGGTAGCTTGATGGGGATAGCATTAAATCCATAAATTACACTGGGCAGTATGGCCATTTTCATGATATTGATTCTACCTAATCATGAACATGGAATGTTTCTCCATCTGTTTGTGTCCTCTCTTATTTCATTGAGCAGTGGCTTGTAGTTCTCCTTGAAGAGGTCCTTTACATCCCTTGTTAGTTGTATTCCTAGCTATTTTATTCGCTTTGTGGCAATTGTGAATGGCAGTACATTCTTGATTTGGCTCTCTTTAAGTCTGTTTTTGGTGAATAGGAATGCATGTGATTTTTTTTTTTTTTTTTTTTTTTTTT